CCTGTTACTACTAGCGATGCACCTGTTACTACTAGCGATGCACCTGTCTCTTTCTTTGTGGTCTTCACGTGATCCCTTGTCAGCTAAGCGGCAGTGGATCTGGTTGCAAGCATCTGGCCTTCCAGGGAAATCGAACTGCTACAGCTACTGCTTCGCAGCTGTTTTCAGGGTTGGCTGCTTGCCACTTGTGGAAATGGTGTCCTGTGGCTTGATTGGACTTCAATGAAAAAAAATATTACTTTAAGTTACTAGTAGCAATGGCCTCCAACCTAGAAGCGATAGCCTCAGTGGCCTCCAACCTAATAGCAATGGCCTCCAACCTAAGAGCGATGGCCTCCAACCTACTAGCGATGGCCTCCGACCTACTAGGGACTGGAGGCCACTTCCAAATCCCCTACGCAAAAAAAGAAGAAAAAGGAAGTGAACCTGGGCCCCTTAGTATTTGAGGCCCCTTCAAACGAATGCCAAACTAAAAAGACACGTGACATGTGACTACTGATTTCTGCTAGAAAGGCAAACCTGATTTTCGGGAAATACCACGCTGTTTATTTGAGGCATGGCCGGCGTGGCAGAATGCAACAGCACAGTGCATAGCAATGGGGTCAATGCGTTGCTTTACATTCTTCAAGACCCGTCTTTCTCAACCGTAACGAGGTCTCACCTCTACGACATAAGAGAAAAGAAAGAAGGATAAATGGTCAAAACGTCACTTATGTTCACAGAAAAGCACAAAAGTAGACGGGGTTCGAGGCCATACCGTACCTATTTTGAACTTATTAGGTTGCAGGCCGCTATTAGGTTGGAGGCCATCGCTATTAGGTTGGAGGCGATCGCTAGTAGGCCGCCATCGCTATTCAGACAGCGGGACTTGGACGGGAGGGGCCTCGAGCAGCTCAAGCATTTCGCATGGCTCAAGACTGGGCAAGTTGTCTCGCAGCCATTCCTGTGAAACAAGCCGTGTCAAAGGTGAATTCTTCACGTTTCAGGTACAGGGAGAATATATTAGCATTTGTGTATAGAAATATATTGTTTAACATCAACTCCATCGAGTGTAGATTCTAGATCCCCTTTTCACAAGAGTATCGAGCAAAGAACCTCAATCAAATTCTCTCATCTGGAGGTGTTCTATCGCTACTAGGAACAAGTGCATCGCTACTAGGAGCAAGGGCCTTACTACTAGGAACAAGAAGCTATTAGAAACAATAAATAGAATTTAATTAGAATTAAGTGCAAATTAGAATAGAAACAATAAGCTACTAGGAACAAGTGCATCGCTACTAGTAACAAGGGCGCTACTACTGTGGTCTCACCGATGCACAAAGTCTACCTGTGCCATGCGCCCAAGCGACCGTGCAAGGCCATCGGCATTGAACCAGTTCTTCTCGCACACCACAGAGGTGCAAATATGCTCGCCTAGCTCCAACATACGAGAAGATCAGAAGTATTAAACAGGTCAAAAATTCTAGTTGGACATGAAGGAAAGGGGCATCAATGCCCCAAGAACCAAAATAAATGGACGTGCAAGAAAAGGAAGCTACTGTAGATGGATGAAGTATTAAACAGTCTTGTGTTCACGCAACCCTCTTCACCCGTAAGTCTCAATGTTGAATGCTTTCAGCGAGCTTGGACTTGAGTGGACAAGACCATTCAAATCCCAGCGAGCAAAACCTTGCCTTAAAATTAGAGTCTTAGAGCCGCTGTTTCAACTTGGGGCCCAGGGTGTACAGAAAGTTGTGTTGCTCAGGGTTTGATTACTCTAAGACTCTAAGAAATGAACAAGAACAGAATTAAGGGAAAGAGGTCTTTGGAAAAAGGATGTAAAGGAATGAAGAAAGGCTTGAAGACAAGGAAACTGGCCAGCTCTAAGATAGTAGAAAGCACAAGCACAGCTTGAAGTTGAAGCTCGAGTGTCCATGTCAGAGCCATGCCACTACCGTATTACTACCCCCCAGAAGCAGCCCAGCAAGATGTTTTCTTGACCCAGGTCTCGTGGTTGATTCTATGTTTCGTTGCATTTTGAACAAGAAAGGGTTGCAAGTTGTCGCTTCAAGCGCCCCACCTCCTTCGTGTATGCAGCTCTTGCAAACACCATGCGATACTTTTGGGCACAAAATCTCGCAGCCTGGGCACCGTGGCGTGCGACCGGACCTCTGACCTGTCTGACCTGTATGACCTCGGCTGACTCAACCTAATAGTAATGGCCTTCAACCTAGTAGCGTTCCGATCGCTCCGTTCGTAGCGATGCCAGGAGCCCCGTGCGTAGCGTCCTTGCTCCTACTAGCGATGGCCTCCAACCTAATGGCTGAGAAACCATTTTCGCTCTTTCCATCTTCATCGAAATAGTTGTCAGCACCTCAGGAACGTCGATTGAGCAAGCGGTGTCTTATCGCAGTCACGCCAACATGAGTTCAGCTAATCTCCCCTGTTTTTTCTGAAATGCGACCTGACCATAAAATCAGATGAGCTGCACTTCACTTTGGTGCAGTTGCTTGGACTGCTGCACGCCAAGCAGTCACCCCCAAGCACATGTCCACAAGGCATCTCGCAGCTTTGCTGATCTCCTTTCGCGCATCGCTAATGGCCTCCAACATAATAACAAACTATATTAAACATTTTTTCCTTTTCTTTCTTCTTTTTTCTAATAGCAGTGGCCTGATTCCAGATTTGCATCCTCTTCAGAAGTTGGTGGTAGCCTTCTCATACATAGAACTAGTGGGAGTGGGAGTTGCGGCGGCTGTGGGAGTTGTGATTGCGCCTAGCTACCGCTGCAATGGTGGTTCCTGTGCACTGTGAAGAAAAGAAGGAGTGAGAAATATGTACACCTGAGAAGGGGAGACGAAAGCCAGCCCTCGTAGACACAGAGTCTTTCAACATAGTTTCTTTACAGCTGCTCGGGAGGGTCCCAGAAGAGAGCACTCCTTTGCTGGTGCCCTTTTTACCAAAACCTTGACAAAGCGATCAAAAAGTGCACCACCAAACATGGCCTTTTCGTTTTGAGTCCGTTAGTCAAGGTGCGTTTCGGCCCACCCTCTCTTGGACCGCTTAGATGGTGTTCTACGCGTTCACTGCTGCTTGTACGAAACATGCGGAACAGTACAGAAAACGGTCCTTTGCTGATACCATCGCTACTAGGTTGGAGGCCATCACACCGATTGGCTGTGAACCACTCTCATCCCCCGCCCCCACCCCCTAATACTCACTTCGTTCGCTCATCTAGCACTTCAGCCTAGCCTATCGGCTGGCTTTCGTAATTATAAAGTTAAAAATGGTTTAACAAAGAATTCTCGTGTTCACGCTTTCCAGGCTTACAAGCTTCGTGGCTTTGTGTTCTTTCAGAAAGTGTGTCATTGGATGCTCGCCTATTCTTTGTCGAAAAGATCTATACAATCCTCCAAACAAGCTGATCGAAACAACTTCATCCATGAACTGATCAAGATCAAGCTTCGGTCAGCATCAAACCAGTTCGGCCAGCATTGGATTGCAGTGCCTCAAATGCTGAATCTATGGAAAAAAGCTGTGATTGCTGTTCCTGGTTTCCTTGCTGAAGTTGAAGCGCCAAGACACAATTGTTGGATGAGCTACAATTCGTACCTGAAGACAAAAATGAAATACAAAAGGTCTAAAGAAAGACAACAGGAAAAGAAAAGAAATTGCAATACCAAGAGTCTAACAAGTGCATCGCTAGTAGTAACAGGTGCATTGCTAGTCTAAGAAAGGTTGGTTGGAACGCCCTCAGGTCCATGAGACAAAGGCTTTCGTGTCAAGCCACAAAGGCCATGGCTGACATTCGGGCATCCAGCTTCACAACCTCAGTCAGACAGTTCTCCAGTCCTCCAGTCTCTTCTTTGGCCGGTGGTGTGGCACAACCTCTGGTATGTTATGTCTTCTATCAGTTTCTTTGTGTATGGATGTCTTTCTTTGCTTTTGACCTCAAGACATTTCTTTCTGCTTCCTTTCACGCTTTGTCCTTTCTTTCTTTCTTTCGTTCGTTCGTACGTTCGTTCTTTCTTTCTTTGCTAATGACCTCAAGACCTTTCCTTTTCATGTCCTTCCTTCCTTTCAACTTTCTTGCCTTCCTTCTGTAAGCTTGATGCAGAGCGCTCATCGGGTGACGAGTTTTCGTAATAAGCTGCTACTTGAGCACCGTCTCATCTAAATGACTTGGGAATCGTTCTTTGATTCTGCGATTTTGCTACTAGGAGCAAAGGGCATCGCTACTAGGAGCGATCGGACGCTACTAGTAGCTCCTGGCCCTACTACTCGTAACAAGGACGCTACGTTCGGGGCTCCTAGCAAGTACTTCGCATTCCGCACCTTGGCGCCTTCGCCGACCGTGCCGGAACCGGACTCGGAATTGACCGACATCCGGAATGGACGGCTCTACACGTCGCGTCAAATAGAATACGGCTCAGAATTGAGTGAATAGAAAAGCTTGTTACTAGTAGCTACTTGCTCCTAGTAGTAATTACGGCCAGGAGCCCCTAGTAGCGTTCTCCTAGTAGCTTGAATAGAAAAGCTCGGCCGGAAGCAATCCAAACGATGCGTTTGCTTTGTTCGCTTCGCTCGCTTTGTTCAGAGTCACCATTCTCCGGAAAGCCGTCATTGTCGAAGAAGTTGGCCTCACAGGAGAGAAGCTTTACAGAGTATTTTTAAGCATTGTAGGTTGGAGGCCATCGCTTGTGTTAATTCTTGATGGAAAGAAGTACTAGGAGAGAGGAGCGGGCTTTTAAAAAGGCCTGTGTATAGTGAGCGTAACTCTGGCCTCACAAGAGATGTTGGAGCAGCTGTTGAGCACCGCGCAGTCCACGCAGGTCGCATGAGGGACCTGCACAGTCGATCCCGCGACTCGCGGTCGTCACGCAGAGTGCCTCAAAACAGAGGAAAAGTATTTCTAGTAGCGATGCACTTGTTATTAGTAGCTTCTTGTTCCTAGTAGCGAGGCCAGGAGCCCCTAGTAGCTTCTCGTTACGAGTAGTACGGCCAGGAGCCCTAGTAGCGTCCTTGCTCCTAGTAGCGATGCCCTTTGTTCCTAGAAGCTTCTTGTTACTAGTAGTAGCGATGGCCTCCAACCTAAGACAGAACACATCACAACTGCTTCGTTCATTGATTTCACCCTGACCGGGTTCAACAGAAACCCTTCGTCGTCACACAACCTCGCACTGTCGCACCTCTCCGCAGCGCATCTCGCAGCCGTTCATGAGATCCGCATCTTTGTTCGCCCAGTTCGCTTGGCATCGAAGCTCCGAGCAGCTTTTCGGATCTTCACATCGCGTGCACTCCGCCTGCACATTGAGGACAAGTAAAAGGCAAGCAGGAAAACAGACACAGAAGACAAGCAGTGTGATTCTGAGAGTACTGAAAAATATACTGAGAGACAAGAAGCTACTAGGGGCTCCTGGCATCGCTACTAGGAGCAAGGACGCTACTTGGGGCTCCTGGCCTTACTACTAGGAGCAAGGACGCCACTAGTAACAAGAAGCTGTCAGATAGTATCCTTATGACAAAAAGTATCCTCGCTGATCGAGATCGCCTGAGGAAGCTTTGGGCAAGTCACTTCACAACCATTCGCTGGGCTTCCATCCACGTCAAAGTGGTTGGGGTGGCAAACGACTTTGGTGCAGTGAGACGAATCGGCACAAGCCTGAGAAGCGAGAAGCACGAGGCCGCTATTAGGGAGGCCATCGCTCTTGGAGAAGCGCAGAAGCGATGAGGCCACGATTTCGGGTGATGAATCTCAATCTCCCGCTCCCGACAAGGCGCTTTCAGTAGCGATGCACTTGTTTCTAATGGCTTCTTGTTACTACTAGTAGTAAGGCACCTGTTACTAGTAGCGTGGCACCTGTTACTAATAGCT